TCTTGCACCTAAGTGATATTCAAATTTCGCTTCCTGGGTCAAAACATGCAAAACCGGACGGAAAACATAAAATTTTGCAATAATCTTACACCTTGCACAAAACGACGATAATTTTTCTAATTTCATAGACAACAGAAGACTTTTTTTCTACATAACCCCCCCCCTTAAATTTAAAGCTGGATCCGCCCCTGGGTGAGTCTGCCTGACAAGATCGAAACGCAATTTTTCTAATAAAACTAAACAAAATAAATTTTAATATTTTGATGTCTGAGTCATTTTGGGTACATTTTTCAAGTGACTGAAATCAAGTGTTACAAATTTTATAAATGATATATAAGAAATATAAAAAAAATATCATTTATAATCTTCGTAACTTTAACAAAAATGTATGTTCCTAGTAAGTATTTTGTGTCCAGTAGAGGACGTGGTAAAAAACCCAATCTAATGGAAACTTTAAAATTCTAGGTAATAAATACGACTGCAAAACTAGTGAAATAATAACACAGCATTTGTTTACAGTAATAATGTAATGGTACTTTGTGATATCTAAGTCCTTCCTCCCTTCCCGACAGGGATTCAGGAAAAGTTGAATAAATAATTTTTGCATAAAATTTTGGGGCTTCATCAATAGGCGGGCACCCTATATATGCTGATAGATAATGTTTTCTAAAAATTGTATTAATGTGAACGTTAATTTGCTCATTGTGTGCGCGAATGATCTCTAACGTTTTACGGTCATCGATTATACGCTCCGGTGTAGACGAACCTTTAACGCTTAAACTTCAAAGGTTTAGACACATATTAAAATCACTTATTAAAAAGTATTAAAATTTGTAAAACATTTTGATCTTGTTCTATGATTTTTATTAAGACCGTGTTATTTTCACCTAAATGGCAAATACGATAGTTTTGGTTAAACTAGTTTTGGCATCAAATTTCGAATAAACACGAATTTTCGGCGAAATAATTGGATTAAAGAGACTTACCAGTTGGACATTTAAAAACACAGTCCTCTTCAACAGCGGCATCGAAAACATCATGAACGGTTCTAAATTTTTCTGCCACTTTTATTACATTTTGAACAACGTCTCCGAACACTGTTTCCGCTGTTAGAATAGCATCTCTCAAATTACCTAGTAGTCCTGAACCATATCCAGAGTAAATGTAACCCAGAAATGTTAATAGGTAAACTGCAAGCTTTCCATAACTAATATTCATTTTTACTAGTTTACACACAATTAAAATATATTCTTTTCCCAAATAGGGTTATGTTTTCGTGACATTAGTGGAGCAAGAATTTTGGTAATTACAAATGTTCTATTTTTGCTATCACCTACGTGGTTTACTTCAATTAGTCAGTTTGTGTTCCAACGCTCGCTTTTTGTTCAGGTATGGTTAGGTAAGGTATCTGTCGACTCTAATTTTCTTTTTAAAGGCACCTTGAAACAACTGATAATTTTAATGTACAGCGTGGGCCATCATGTTCATAATTTTAGTGCACGGAGAAACCAATAAGTGTAGCTAATCTACCTTTTGATGGCATGTATAGTTTTATTTAGTCTACAAGGAAGCTGCGATACAAGCAGCAGAGAAACCGTAGCAGGACAAAGAAGCGCAGAGTCGCAACCCACATAGCAAAATGATATTCCCAGAATATACCTGGAATATTCATGTGATGTACATGCATATTACTGGGACGTACATGAGTTCCATTATAAACATTCCATGTAGGTCCCAGGAATCTGTCAGAGTTAATACACTGAATGTTCATGGTATGTTCTGGGAATGTTCTTGGTATGTTCAGTGAATGTACATGTGTATGTTCAGTGAATGTATATGGTATGTTCAGGGAATATACATACATACATATATGTAAGGAAAGAAAAACGATACTTTCTTTCATCTTATTAGTTTATTCACATATTTAAGTATTTACTGATGTAATTTTTCAACAACAAGAGTTACTTACAACTAATCTAAAACTAATTAAATGGATAATAAATAAATTAAAATATAACTTATAACTACGGACTAAAAACCTAAATTAACATTTTCCGCATTTTTGCCGTTGTCGCAATGATGTGTGACTGTGAGATAAAACACAAACCTTTATCTAAAAAGCTGCACTTATTATTTTATATTCCTTACATGTTGCCGCTCTGTGGCTTTTGCCCTTTCATTTTGTTCTCGATCAATTAAAGCGTTTTGCAATATGCTCTTAACAAAAATTCTATAAGCAATTACAAATTTTAATATTGGTCACAACAACAAAATACAGTTAATAGTTTACATTGATAGACTATTCTATTGTGTAGAAATACAGTAAGGTATAGCAATTTGCATTGATACATTCCTTTCATTTTACTTTTGTTGCTTTCCTTCGATCCAAGAAAACATGCTTAACGCAAAATAGAAATCAACCAAAATCAAACTGGTAAAAATAAAAAAAAAACAGATAATAGTTTTACATTAATAGAAGAATAATTAGGTTCAGACAACCTTACTTGTCTCTAACCTTCGTGTGTGGTTTTCTCACGTGATCCCTAGCGTCTTCAATGCTTCAAGTCCAGAACAGCGGTATCACCTGTACGTTTAGAACAAGAAATAATCAAATGTATTTAATTTAAACACCAACATACCTTTACATGTTTGCGGGGTTTTAAGCCATAATTATACCGTAA